AAACTAAGTAAGTATAAGCAAATAAGTTCGTCAGTCAGTCAGTCACAAGGCGGCCGTAATTTAATTAGACTGATTATAAACCCGAGACGATAAATCAGCTGATCGATCAGTGCCCCGAGACAGGTGTGGGTGGAATCGGGCCCAAGACCAGCGGCTATCAATAAAGCAAAAGGAAAACAAGTGAAGGCTTGCTAAATAAATGTTTAATTAAACATGCTAATTATTTAATAAGTGCAGCTGATAAAAACTGAGTTATTTGTTTAGCTTTTATACAATTTTTGTACAATAACCATTAGCGTGCACATAAAACGATGGATTCGAACATGAAAAACAAGCAATAATTCCTTTAGTTTTCAGATTGCTCGACTGCCAAACACCCTGCACAAAAGTTTAAGGTAATACCTTACGAAGCATATTATAAGATTAAATTTAATTTTAAGCCTCATCCAGAAACAGTTAGAGCTGAATTTCTAGTGTGCGAAAGCAATCTTATGGGATGGAAAGTGTTGGGAAACGAACGTTTGGTATTTTTTTGTTTATCACTCGATCGGATTCAAACTCACTCTCAACGATCTTTCACAGTTTTTCGAAAAACGAAAACCTTCGACTTCTTAAATGTTAAATAAAAGGATATAGACTATATTTTCATGGGAATTGAAAGTGCTTTCGGTTTCGCAGATCACGCCCTAATTTATAGCGTCTCTCAAAAATGGGCTATCATATTACGATTTCCACACTTCAATGCTTCAGTCGGCCAATGATTTATGCGTTCCAATCGAAACGTTGCGATAGGTTTTATGACAAGTGCTCTAAAAATACCAATTTACTGGTGTTTAAATGTACATTAAAACCTCCTTAGGCCCATGGGGGAACCGGGCAGCCCATTCGCCTTATCTTTTGAGCTGTTTCAATAACTGACAAACATCGACAAAAATTGGAATTGTTTTATTACCCACGACGTGCTCTGCTATCGCCGAAAAGTGCTGGCTAGGAGATTCGCTAATGATTGAAATGGGTTTGAATGGAGTTGTATGATCTGGGATTTTGATCTCAAGTGGATCAAATCACGTCATTGTTAGAGATATTTGTTCTATTATTATAGATCGAAAATTTGAAGAGCGATGCGCGATGCGGAGATATCAGAAAACAATACTTTCTTAAGTATTTGAAGAATAAACAATCAGGTGCATGTTGTGAAATAACCTATTGAGGTACTTGAAGATAATCCATAGATAACGAAGCATATAAAACGAAACGAATTAGCCGAATATTACTGAAAGTATCGAAGATAATAAGCCATATATTTATGATTTATTGCATCGCAACTATGTAGAAAAAATACTGAACAACGAGGAGAAATATATAGTATATAGTATATAGTATTGTCTAAGTCGAATGTCACACAAAAGTTAGTTATAAATTGAATAATACTTGTAATAATAGCATTAATATTAAAGATAATGTTTGATCTGGTCCCACTGTGCATAGTGTATATAATGTCGCCTAATCGAAGCATAGATAATTTGCCTGGTTGTTTACTTTCTCGGTTTATAGATAATAGAAACGTCAACGTTAAACGGCCAACTGTGCCCCCAGACTTGCCCGTATTGATAAAAAAAATAAAATAAAATAAAAATAATATAAAAGAAAAGAGCCCCGCTGAAAAAGTACTATTACTCGTAATTGTATAGACACATTTTGTGTGTAGCCTGTCTGGAACAGTATCAACATTTGTATTTCTGTTCCGTTCTGTTATTCCGTCGATTCTATTCTCTGATATCGCTGGTAGCGGGGGAGAGGGCCAAGCGATAATGCAGCCTGGTCTGGGAATGTATAAAAATAGCAACAGTTCCATAGGCATAGCTATGATATATGACGGCAATCCCTTGTCATATGCTACATACATGCCCGCATATAAATATGCATTCATTTTTCCATTAAAGACAGACAATGCAATATATATACAATGTATATCGAATAAAAAGATACAAGTGAAAACATGTGAATATAATTCACTTTCATTTCGTGGCCTTTACAACAACTTATTTAAGAATTTCACAGGCTAACCCCACTTGACTGCAGTTTTCCAGTCCTCAACGAAATTCACTTTTGGCACACAAATTGAACACGCATTAAATTCAATATTTATACTGCCGCACTTATTTACAGGAAAAAAAGAAAAGAAAACGTAAACTTTTGGATGACATGTGTATACACAATATATATTCGGCCACATATACACTATTCATGGCATATCTACTTGCCAGACACATGTCCGAAATTCGGATCGCATGTGCTAAAATAAACTTATGCATGTCCATTCAATTATGACATAATGAAACACTTGGAGAAATGGAACGAATATACCCGATTGCTGCGAGTTGACGGAGTGCGCGGGCCTAATATGCGAGGCGCGAGTTATTATGCACTTCAAAACGGGACTGCTCCAGTCGGGAGTAGTCAACTGCACGATACCCTGTTTCCGTATTGAATGACTGAACTTTGCCGTGAATGTAAATATTCAAGATTGCAGTTTCTGAGATCGCATTTATATAATGTAAACAATTGCATATCTAACTGTTTTCTGTTTTTGCAATCCGGCTGGATATACTTATAAATTTATCAGTTCGCTTTGCAATATAATTAGAAGCGAACTTTTACCTACGATTTTTTATATATATATTGCAATTTAATTGCATTTGGAAAATCAGTTCAGATTTTGGTGGAACCATTTTTGTAATTGGATCTTAAGCAACATTTTCTCAACTTCATTACTAGTGACAAAATCAGTGAAAAACAATAACAAGATACATATAATATATATAAATATATATAGATACAAAATAGAACAAACTTCCAAATCGAAGGCTTTTTCCACGCTTCTGTTGTATTTTATTTTGTTGGCACATAAATTATTATGCGCTCGCTTTGAAAAAATAAAAGTTGTTGCTTTTGCGTTTGCCGTTGTCGTTGCTTTTGTTGCTCTTGGCGTCAAAAAAAATATATATTTCATTTCCACAAAAAATTTGTCGAAACCAAAACAAGTGAAAATCCAAAAACAAAAAAAAAACACTGCGTTGCGCAGCCTGCAAGTAAAAATAGCGATACCCTCGTGAAGCTGATGAACTGTCTGCCCCCCCCCCCCCCCCCTCCCTGTCACCACCTGGCCATGGCTACCCCCAAGTTGAATATCGGGATAAACGGGTAAACGGGGACATAAAAAATACGCAATGAACGTGACAAGACCCAATCTCGACTATGCCATACCCTACCTATACTATTTTTAACTTTAATTCCAAATCAATTAGAACTTAAAGTTGTCATTGTTTTTCTTTTCATAATTATAAAATAAGTTATTTTTATCGTAAAACACATATAATTATTGCGATCCCTAACTTTGTTCAATGTCAGGCTCATCAGCTGAGTACCAGCCGAGCATACCCCATTCGCCGCATGGATACAGGGTATCCAAGAAATGCGACACAGTTTTTAGTATTTTGCGTCTGCCGCTAATGCGCCGTTATTTTGAAGGTCGTGCGGCCGCTGTCGAGCCTATTAAAAAAAAAAAGGCCAAAACAACGGAAACCCCTTTTTTGCCTTGCGGAATCGCATAAAAAATGGGAAAACACGTTGACAACGGCAACTAAATGGTAGGGGTAAAGGCAAGAGCAGGGCCAAGAATCGGCGATTAACTTACCACGCGCCGCGTCTCATAACGGGGCGGTGCTACGCCAGTGTGGCCGCCTCTGGAGACCGCCTCGAACAGCGTGGGTGTGGCCGTGTGCTCGACTGAAGAGACCGCCTCGTGCAACATTTCGAACGGATCTAGCTGGTGCAGTCGCGACGGACTGTTCCCGTCACTCGAAATGTCAGCCGATGGTGGGGGCGAGGGTGGCAATGGATTTTCCATAACATAAACGAGGTCCAGGTCGGCTGGTGTCGACATTGTTGCTGTTGTTGTTGTTGTTGTTGGGTTCGTGTTGCCAAGCTGCAATAGCGTCGCATTGTTGTTGCTTGTCTTTGGCAGCGACTGGGCTTGCACCATGTTAGCCAGGTCTAGGCCCAAGTCCAGGCCCATGTCTAAGAGCCCTGCGCCCTGCGCCTCATTCCAATTCGGTTTCTTTGTGCGTTTGTCTAGGCGCGTATTTGTTGTGGCCATTGCGGGTGTCAGAGCTGGAGTTGTGTCCATTTGTTCCCGATGCATGTCCCTTATCATTAGGTTGAAGTCTGTTTGTGTTGTTTGTTCGATTTTCTCCTCGGCGCCCTCGTAGCGCCGGCGCATGTCCTGCATGTGCTGGCCGCGTATGTGATCGATGAAAACCGATAGCTGCAGGCAAATCGCCGGGCAGAAAGCACAATTGAAGCCAAAGCATTGTACGTCCGGCGAGCTGGTTATCTCTCCGCACTTGTGAAAGTATGCGTAATCCTCGAGCTGCCAGTGGAATGACTGCGGCGCCAGTGTTTCAGCCTCAACTGCTGGCTGCAGCGATAATATTGAGTTTGTTATTTCGAGCGCCATCGCACATCAATTCTTGTTGAATTCTTGCTGCCCCGGAACGCACACACTCCTTAAACGGCACGCACTCTCTCCTAATCGCAATGTTCCCTTATTTATTATTTAATTATTATTGGTCCGTTGCGCGCCCACGACAACATAACAATCGAACGACGAGCGCAAAGAGCAAAGCTACGCGGAGACCTCTTATTTGGAGTGCGTTGCAAACAGCCGGCAAACGAAAACTGTTGTTGTGTTCGAATGTTCTCTGCTTATAAGAATGTCGAAATCATGAACCGCTACGCACAAAAGGTTGCGCAGTGCGCAGCTCCGTTATGCGGCGCTCTCTGAGAACGTAATATATACGTGTGACGTCATTCGGTCAAAAGATTTTGAATGAAATTCTGTTAGTACTGTTAAAGAGCAGCTAAATTTATCTTATGTATTAGACTTAATTTTTATTGCGACGTCCACTCTTATTTTAAAAGTAATTTGTAGTTTTAAATTTTAATTATTATGCAAGAGCAACTATAAGCTTATGATCGCATTTATTTGGCTTTATGCTCACAATAAAGAGAGATACACACGCAGCCTATAATGTGCTATTCTTTTAGGAAATGTATTTGATTAAAAATCTACCAAATTCATTCCTGCTTGCTTTCGGTTACTAAGTAATTGTTATTTTATTATTTTAAAAAATATTATGGTAAATGGGAAAGCTGAAATTCAACAATCTTTCACGAAGCCCACAAAAAATGTTTTACATATGCTTTCTGTGTGTGTGTGTGTGTGTGTGTGAAATGTAGGTTTCGTGCATTTGGTAAAGTAACTTAAAATACTTTTCATAGTTTAATGTTGTGTTTATAATTATGTATTTACTGAATATTTTTAGCTTAAGTTAATATTTCCGCATCCTCCACCTCGCCCTTTATCTCGGCAGCTGCATCCGTCGCCCGAATCGTATCCGGCAATATGCATTCCTCCGGCTGCGAGAGGACCTGGTTAACGATGAACAGATTACGATTAGATCCCACCTCTTTGCTCGCAATGGCGGGCGCTGCTGACGCAGGCGAAGATGCCGCTTTCGTTCCCAGTACAGGTACACCATTCACCACGCCGACGGGCGTCGCTAAGTTTCTTGACAAATTTGCTGAGCTCTTTGTGGAACGTGCATAGGTCTTCTGCGCTGGAGATGGATTAAACGGATTTATGGTGCCAGACCCCACTCTGTTCGCGACAATTTCAGCTTCCACTGGTGTTGTCGCCGAACTAGCTCCGGCAACCTGCAATTAACAATAATAAGTTAGAATAGTGAATTTTATCTTAACAAACAATAGTGCTCGCTCTAGTCGGGAGTCACCGAGATGCCCCGAATCTTGCACCCAGCCGACATTTGATATACATAGATTAAAAAAAAAAACAATAACATTAAATCATTTCCCCATCAATCGGTTTTTTTTTATTCATTTAAAAGGTTCCCTAAATTATTAGCAAAATATGCTCCCCTTGTCTTGAGCCTCATCTGGTTTTTCTCACAACGAAAAATAAAGTAATATTATGTATTGCCTAAGCATATCAGTTTTTCATTACCCGTAAACTCGAAAAGTTCGCTGAAAGCGACATAACAGTACCGAATAATCGAGTATGTACCGATAACTGCGTGCATTAACATTAACAGCCGTTAGATAACAGCTGTTATCGGATTTGAACTCACATTTACTCACAGATAGACAGATGGGTCAGCGAAATAATAATACCCTCGGCAAGAATATAAACTGAAATAGTCGGGAAACTTACCTTGCTGTTGCCTCCAGCTGGCTTCATTTGGATCCGTGAACGCTGTTGTTGACTGACGGTTGCAACTGGTGTGCCTATTCCTGATGCCGCTGTCAGAGAGCCCTTCGCGGTTGATCCACGTGGCGTGCTGCTCGCTGCTGGAGCACGCACTGGCGTTGAGCCTAATGTTAACTTGGGCGTTTTGTACTGATAACCAATAATGTTCTTGTCCTTATCGTAAATGGGCCGACTGGTGGCGGGAGGCTTGTAACTTGGCGCTGATACCGCCTGCCGCAGACTACCGGCTGCAACTGGTGGAGTGTTTACCCCCGCCGCTGGCGAAGCATGACTTGTATTCAATGCCTTAGCCAGCACCGAGTTACTGGTGCTGGCTGGTGTGGAGCTGGGCGTTGATGCAACAGCCTTGACAACGGCACGAATTTGTGGCATGGGCGCAGAAATGGTATTGGTGACGGCATTTACATAATATACATAGTTCTCCAGAAGCTTGGTGCCCACGTCTACATCAATCGGTAGCAGTGTGCTTGTCCTAACAATCCTCTCTATGACCTGCTGCCGCTCCGACACGCTCATTGAAATAGCTCGCCTGGCCAGACTCTGCAGCACAACATCAAAGAGCTGAACGCGTGTCTGCAGCTCCACTCGCAGCTTGTCGGTGGGGCAAATGGACGGCAGCTGCAGCATTCCCGAAACGAGGCTGGACACAGATTGTGAGCTTGGCACTGAAGTGCCCGGTGTAGCTGCAGCAGCATTAGGCGGATGCACTTTTTTGGTTAAGTTCGTGTTACGCGGTTGCTGCTGCTTGGGCAGCGGATCAATGTTGCTCGTACTTGGCGGAGTGGGCACTTGCGTAGCTGAGGTCGCAGTGGACGTTGCTATGGGAGCTGTCGTTGATGTCGCCGTTGTTTGGATGACACAAGGTAGCCCATCCTTGGCCGCCAGCTGCTCGAGCTTGGCGCGCACCTTTTGCGGTATATTCTTGTCCTGCTTCGAGATGATCTTTGTCGAGATGACCATGTACTGCGGCAGCTCCAGCACCGGCACCTCCACTTTCGAGTGCAGCCGTGTCGGATCAATGGCCTGCATCGGCCCGTCCAGGTTTGGACAGCAAAAGTCAAGACCCACATGGCCGTAAGAGCGCTGATAGCGTGATGGATACAAAAACGAAAACATTTTCGTTGTACCAAACGTGTGCTGATCATTTAAGCTGTTCGCTGAAGGAATTGTGCTGCTGGTGGCGTTGCTACTGATGGTCGTGCTGCTAGCGGTTGTGCTGCTGATGGCGGTGCTCCTGCTGCAGTTAATATCCGCATGCGTTGTCGGCGCCGTCGAAATAAGCGTTGGAGCCGCCGCACAGGTGTTCACGGAGCAGGAAATATTGGCTGCAACTTGTGAGAGAGTTGGAACGGGCACATCAACCTCCATTTGCACCGTTTGCTCTGGGGGCAAGATCTGTTGCTGTTCTTCCACTTCTACCTGTTCCGCTTTTACTTCCAGAACTGGCAGCGGCACTGGCAAGGGCATGGACCTTACCACCGGCGCCTTGAGCAGTTGCGTTTGTGCAACCGGCTGAGCTCTTGTTATGGCTGGCTCTGCTTCCTTCGTCGGTGGAATTGCAGCTGTTCCGGGAATAGGAGCTATAGCTGTTGGCGGCTCTATTGGCTGTGCTTGATCTGGTTCTGGAGGTGGCTCTATTTCTTGCAAGCCCAAAACCCAGTTTTTAATCATGTTCCGATTCAGACGCACGCGCAACTTTCGCGTTTTCTGTGGTAATGGCTGTGAGGGCAGTTGCAGCTCCTTGGGTTTCTGCATTGGCTTTTCCGATGGTATTGAAGGCGCTGGTGCTTTGGTAATCGTTTCTGGTACAGGCACCGCTTTTTCACTGCCCTTGTCAGTGACAGTGGAAGCAGCTGTAATCCGCACTGGGAACGCAATTGATGTGTCCGGTATGACTGGCAGCTCCTTTTGACGCTTAACACTCGCTACGTCCGTAACGGGCTTAGCTGGGAGCTTGCGTTTTCGCGATGGCGGAACTGGCGCCAGATCAGGGATCTCAGGCTGAGGCTGAGGCTGAGGCTGCGGCGGCTGAGGCTCAGCAGCGGCCAGTTTGAGACTCTTGCGGGATTGACGTTGCGGCTTTGGCGGCAGCTGTCCGACCAGTTGCGGCAATGTCAGCTGCTGTCGCTCGTTGGAGGCATTGCGCTGTTGTGTAGGCGTAATCGTGGGCGTGGCAGTCGTGGAGCGTATTTGACTGCAGGCGCGTGTTACCGGTGTCGAAGTCTTTGAGTTCGTCAGCGATAACTTTGTCATGCGGGAAGAGCGCTTTGTACGCTCATTGGACGAGTCGCGGGAGTCCGAAGTGGGATTCGTTGCTAAAGGAATAGGCGGTTGTTCCACTGCTGTTACCGATTCCTTTGACTTTGATTTTCCAAACGATTTGTTTGCGACTTTTCGCAATTCCATTTTGTTAGCGGGCTTCGCTTCAGACAGTTTTTCTGTAGCTGCGGACACCCCAATATCCTTATCCTCGACGCTAGGACTGGCTGCAGGTGCTGCCAGTACTGCTTCCAATTTTTTCGCCTGTGGAAATGATTTTCTGGGGGTGATAGTGTTAATGACCGCTTCTGCTGGCTGTGTTGCCTGTTCAGTTTCCAATTTTTCACTAGTTTCCACCTTTGATATGGGTTTCTTGATAGCCTCAATGGGAGCTGTTGTTTTCCCTGTTTTTCGTGGCAAGGATAATTTGGCAGGTAGGGACGCTCGCTTGTCTGTAGTGCTTACGCCGGCATCCGCTTTACGGGTTTTTGATTTTTTGCCAGAGTCTAAAGGTGCCAAGGTCTTTTCGGAAACACTTGCAGGTTCTTTCGTCGCATCCACCGTCTTTGAGGGTGTATTCATTAACATCATCTTCCTTACAGTTTCGGCTTGAGTTAACGTCTTTTTGGGAGGTGAACTCGCCAGCTTGTTGCCGTCAGGCACCAATGAGACGGAGATGTTTATACCACTGACAGGAGTTGATGGTGTTTCCACCTTCTTGAAGGGTTCCGTTGTACTTGTTATTGCAGTTTTGGTAATTATTACCGAGTTGTCTATCGACATTGAGTCATCGCCGCTTAGCAACGTTGACAAACTCGATTTCACTGGCGGCGTCTTGTTCACTTCTTTCTTCTTGCTGAGCTTTGTTGCCGTTTGACCCGAAACCACGCCTTGCATGGCTTCTTGTGCCAACAATTTTTTGGCATCTAACATATGTTTCCTAGCCTCGTCCCGTAGCTCCTCTATAGCTTTGTGTAACGAAGTTGGCTCCTTGTCACTAGCCTTGGCCTGATGCTCTACGGTTGAGCTCGCGAGCTTCCGACGCTTCTGTGTAGGCTGCACATCAGTCTGCAGAGGTTTTCCTAGACGTCGCAGCACTAGAAAGATGCATTTACTGTACTTCAGGGGCAACACTTTGGCAGTTCTCCAAAACTTACCAGCTTTACCAGTAGACAACTCCCTTTTAGGTGGAGCTGGCGGTGCCATAGCGGTGATGTTACTAGCTCCCTTGCTTGCGTGCGATTCCTTTGCCTGTAGCGTTTTCTTGCGTTTGGCTGCTGCTAAAAGAAAAAATTGGATTACGAGAAAAGAAGTTAAATATTAGTAAACGAGCTGGAACGGTAAAAAGATATCATGTTTATATTATATTCTAGTAATAGCTATTAACCGTCTGGCTGGGAGGCATCCATTTCGCGATTTTTGAGCTTTCGATTGGAGCTCACGGAATCTGTGCAGCTCTCTTCATCGTCGCCGGCGTCGTCAACATTTCCCGTGACACCTGTTGTTTCTGTCTGACATGAATTATCATTATCATTATCTCCTTTTGGCTGCTCCTCTGAATGCTGTTGACCGTCGTCAGAAGCATCCTTCTCCGGTTTCGGATTTTCGTGAGAATTTTCCATATTATGTTGCTGTTCATTATTTTCAGCAGCTTCGTTTTCCGTTTGCTGTTGTTCCTTAGCAATTTCCATCTCATTTTGCGGTTGATCCTCGTCAGCAGTTTTTTCCTCCTGTTGCGGCTCTTCATTCGCTGTCTCCGACTGAGTTTGCTCACGATGAACATCGTGGTCAGCAGACTCCTGCTCCGGACACAGCTCCTTCTCAGCATTCTCCGTTGAAATTGTCTGCTGGTCACTAATAGGCACTTCGCTCCCAGTTGAAGTATCGTCTGCAGCCTCGTCGATTTTCTGGATGACTGCAGTCTGCGTTGGGTCTGTTTCAGGTTCTAATGAGTCACCTTCGAGGTTGACTTCAACTTGTCCGGTGGGTAGATCCGTCAAATTCTGCCCCGGCCCACTTTGACTAGTGTCAGCCTCATCGCCTGCCATATCGGTTTGAGCGTGCGCTATGCATGGGTCAGCAATGTTATCCATAGCTTGATCAACTGAATCTTCATTAACAACCAAATCTCCTCGATTATCGAGTGGATTGTCCACAGAAATTTGTTCCAAGGCGATCTCTTCAGGTTGCTGATCCGAAGACGAGTTAAGAATTTCATCGCCCTCCTGTACGTTTTCAAGTTTCTGGCTAAAATTAATTTTGGAGCGTGGCACTACCTTCCTCAATAAAATACGCAGCTTACGGCGTGAACTGCCTGAAGAGCTTGAGCTGGGTGTGCTTGGAAATGGTGTGCTGGAATCATTGGTCGGTGCAATCTTTGGCGTAACTGAATTAGCGGGCGCTGGTTCAGTTTCTACAATGTCTGTTTGATTGTTAATATTTTTCGCTGCCCTGCGCTTCTGCTTTGCAAATCTGGGTGCAGGTTTCTCTATGTGTTCATCTGCGTTTATTTCCTGAAAGTCACTGCTGGTTTTATCAAATTCCGACTGAGCACTTGTGTCTGCTTTAAGTGGCGTTGCTGGTTCATTAACTATTTCAGAAGGATCGTTTTTGGTTTTCTTGATTGCTTCCTTCTGCCCTTTCTTTGGCAGTTCCTTGACTGTGCTGTCGCTTGAGGTTGGTTCTGTGTCTGCTGCGGTTTTGTTTTGATCTTTAGCTGGGCGCTCTGCGGACTTCGGTTCCCGTGATCTAACGCGTCTCCCTTTTAATGGAACTGGAGTTGCAACTCTTGATCGAGTGGATCGGCCATGGCTTTCAATTGATTCCACTTCCCATTCTTTTGCCTCCTGTATAAGATCTCTCACTTCTCGAGTTAATCCTGCGCGAAGTTTCCCCTTTGCTGTCTCATCTAGGCTGTTAACAATGTCGGAAGCGACTGCTTCTTCTGTACCCTTTTGTCCTTCAGAGGTTGCTTCGTCTTTACTTAGCAAGACAGGAGGATTTTCTGGAATAATTGGTTGGTCCTCGCTACAAGTTGACTTAAACTTATCATTGAGGTCCGTTGTTGTAGGTAGTTCGAGCTCTAAAACAGCTTCAGCTTCAACGGCTGTTGCAAATTGATCACCTGCAGATAATTTAATAACTTTGTCCTCCGTCGAACTAATTTCAGTATCAGTTTCCTTTGTGTTATTAACCTCACTCGCAGATGCTGATGATACACTTTGAACCCCAGCCGTTGTTGAGGAATCCTCATTATTTACTTGTTCGATGGATTCTGGTGCCAAAGCCGTTGGATTATGTAAAGATTCTGTATGTGATACATCCGTTTCCATCTGTTTTGATGGCGATTTTTCGATCTTTGACCTATGCTTTAACCTGCGAGATTTTCTTTCCTTTGGTGTATTATCAATATCATTGGGTTGAGGAGCTCTTGCCGGCGATTCTTTCGGTTTCTTGTGAGTTTTATCAATTGCTTCCGATTTCTCGTTTTCAGTAGTTTCAGACGGTTTTGAGCTGCGAAGTGGCCTGTCGTTTAAGGATTCCTCTTGCTTTGGTATCTCGTGTTTGGATTTCCGAGTTTTTCTTTCTATATTATTGTCTACATTTGATTTTTGAGGTGTTCTTGTGGCTAACAAGTCGCCGATAGATTTGTCCTTTTTTTCTTTACGGTTTCCTTTCGATGGTACAGACGCATCGCTGCCCGCTGGTGACTTTTCCAAGAGCCTTGGGGTATTGCGATGCGGTGTTCCGGTGTTTAATACCGCGTTATTGTCGCCTCTAAGCAATCGCTTACTGCTACGACTCTCCCGACCTGTCGATATTACGAGAGACATATTCCCTGGACAAGGGCTAGCCTTGGCCAATGCAGAGCGTCGCGTTTGCATTGTGTTTTCCGGATTATCTGACTTATTTGCTTTTAAATGGTTCTTTTCAGCTGGGATATTTGTAATGGGGTTTGTCATTAGAGGTTTTTCACCTGAATCATCACCCATTTCCTCGTCAATTTGTTGCAAATCAACCTTAGTAGTTACTTCTTCAGGCGTGTCTATCTCAGCTATCAAAGTATTTTTACTTTCTTCAGATTTTTCAGTGCCTATGTCCTTTTCAGATACATTTTCTGAATTCGTCTCCAACGATTTGCCAGGCAACGTCTGTTCAGATAGTTCATCGATTTTTGCAGGTTCTTCCCTGGTTATTTGTTCATCCACATTCCCATCGGATGCTTCAATATCCTTCCCTCTTTCTCTAGAAACATTAAAATCGAGTGTTTTTTGAGAAGACATTTCTTCCAGGGCTGGCGTATCCGTTCTTTCTTGGACAGCTGTATCCCGCATATTAATATCCATATGTTCAGTATCTGCATTTTCAGAATTATTTGCAACCATTTTTACAATTGCACTTGCATTTTTAAAAGCACGTTCTTGATTGACACCGTCTTCCCCCATGCATTGCCCAGCACTTCCTTGCGCCTTGCTCTGACTAACACTGTTTTCCCCAAGGCACTTTCCAGCACTGATCAGCCGTGGGCTTTTATAAATTTCTGGCTCCGTATCCATCAGTCTCTTCCCAACGACTTGCTTCCGGGAAATGTTATCCTTTGCTTTAATTTCCCGGGTTAATTCTGCTATTTCAGCAGGACTGTGGGACAAGAATGCTCCGCACGCGCTCTTGATCGAATCGTTTAATCTGTCTTGAAGCTCAAAGAACGCTGCGTCCTCAGGGTCTAAATAAGTTATCGTCTTATTTGCTTCTGCTTCATCGGTTGGAGCTTTAAGGTCTGCATCCGCCAGCTTTTTTAACGCAGCGCATAGAGTGTGTAACTCTTCTTTCGGTTGTGCCCTTTTCGACTTTTCAGGAGTTTTATACGCCGATTCGTCGGTTGTTAAATTCAAGTTAATGTCTTCGTTCACTTTGACAGTTTTATTTTCATTTTCTGACGGAACTACACTAGGTTGCTCAGTCAGATTCTTCGAGACAGCATCATTTACTTCTGTCTTACTAATGTTTTGTTTCTTCCTCGGTCTGCCACGCTTGCGCTTTATTTTTTCTGGCTTTTTGGGATCTTCTTTGTTTATTTCACTCCTATTTTTCGTTTCTTGCCCTATTTTTTCAGCGTTGGCTATTGTTGGCAGCGACAGCGGCACACAATTGTTCTGTTCCTCTGTGGTGGCGGCCCTGGTCTTTGCCTGCTGACGACGCCTACGCTTCGGAAAGGCGCTGTCGCTTTTAGCCCGACGCAGCTCGGTTTTCTTTGGTGCAACCTTATCTAAATTCTCGCTAGAGTATGTCAGCTTGCGAACGTGACTTTTGGAGGAAGATAAGCCAATGGTTGGGTCCACTAGTTTAGGGATAGATGTACTGCGCGGCTTGGAAGCGGAACGTTTTTCGAACTCCTTGGAGCGCTCTACATCAATGTTAATGATTTGCTCGGCGAGACTGAGGCTTAAGCGCTCTAAGGTTTCGTAAGTTAAATTAACGTCTACGTAATCGGCGCGAGACGTTTTTTCTGACTCGTTGCAGCTTTTCCCTTGGCCTGTACTGCTGGAGGGGCCGTCAAGCTGCTGCTCAGCTGCAAAGATTAAATCGAAATAAGTGATAAATGTGAAATACGCTAAAATGAAAAGGAATTAGGAAAAACTTACCCTTTGCCACCGCTTGATCAACGGAATCATTAACCTGATCGTTATCTGTTTGCGCTTTAGTCGTAGACTGTTTTTCATGGGAACGCGATTTCTTAGCATTAGCTGTGTATTTGTGTTTAGAGGGTGGCGATTCGGCACTACTTAGATTATTTAAATACAATTGCAGTCGCTCATTATCGCCGCATGGCATGTGCTGCTGCTGCTGCTGCTGCAGGCTCTCGTCTTCGGAAACAACAGGTGTCACAGTGTCTACACGGTTTGTTTTACGCACATTATAAATATAATCAGAGGGTTGGCAGTATCAACTAGTAGTTTAACGCTGACTTACCCGCCAATGATGTAGCCGTGCTGCTATCTGTCGATATATCAATAACCTGCTTAGAGCCCTCGCCATCATCATCTGAATCGCCATAGCCGTAAAAATCCGATTCATATTCATAAGACGAATCGCTGTCCGAGTCGTCTGAGAAGTCCTGCAAATCTGCAAACCAAAAACACATACATTTATTGAAATATTATTTTATGATTAACAATCACGCTCAATTTTCGTGTCAAACAATAAAGGACGCAAAGCAAGTGTCTCATACAGCCAAAAGTTTGCTCTTTATAGGATAGTTTCAAAAATCTCAGTAATAAAGGAATAAATGCATCTTTAACCAAAAAGTGAGATGCTCAATTCTGTCTGTAATACGGCATTTTTCAGTTTCCTCAAGAAAATATTTTGTATAAAAACGGACGAAAAAAGAGTTAATATATAGAATCTTTAGCTATTAACGACAGACTTGATAAAGTGCTTTGATTTCAAAATATCTTTTAAAAAGCAGAGCGCCAATCGATAGATAGTTTGAAGAGGTTTACTTACGCAGTGGATCCTCTTTTGGCTCGTGCTTAGGCGGCTTCAGGGTCGGTTTCTTAGCTTTGATAATGGTTATAGCTTTCTTCTTGTTGGGCAGCAGATGAGTGTTGGACGAGGTACTGCTGCTGCTGCTGCCGTTGGGCCTATTGCCGGGCTTGAAGAAATCAGCCTTGCTCCGTGGCTTTAATTGATCAGACAAATTGTATTTGTTTGCCTGCAGCTTATAGTCAGCACTCTTCGACTTGCCGATTGCGTTGCCAGTGCTTCTATGCAAGCCGTCACTAAGTGACTTCTTTGATGCCGCAAAGTCAACCGCCTTTGACGGCGACTTGTGTGTTTGGCCCATCAGCGCATCACCTGAAATAAAATAAGAAACGATAAGCCGTGAACTCTTGTGTGTACAACTTGTAACGCATTACATACCCAAATCATCTATGGAATCGTAAGATTCTAAGCGATCGCGTCTATTGTTCCTGAATTGGCTGCTTTGTCGATTATACAACGCATCCAGAGCATCGTTGGAGTCGCTCGATGAAGAACTTAATCGTCGCCGAAATCTTCCTTTTTCATTTGTGCCACCTGATTACATACACACACACACACGCGCACAAAATAAGCATGAATAAGATTTTTGACTTTATTATTTATTAAATATACTTACTTTCAGTGAGCAGCTCGTCGTCAAGAAACTTGCCGTCAAATAGTTTTTGAAAAATATCCGGATCTATTGACGAAGAACCGCTCGAGTCTGATGAAATGCGTCGGCGTTGCGGCAAACGCATCAACGCTTGATTCGATGCGCGTCCTTCGCTGCTTGTTTTGATACCTTGCATAAAATTCAATTGAAAAATCGGCAAGAAGCGCACATTGCAAATGGAACACTCACCTGGCAGCACCAAATCTTTGTACTCATCAAGATATTCTATTTCTATATCCTCCATATTATTAAATAGTTTTGTCTGTATATATCTTTTCTGTTCCTTTCTTTTTGCTCTATTGCGTTTGCATTTACACTTCAAATATATGTTTGTCACTGTCGGCTTGTAGCATGAATTTGCGCACCATAGCAACGGTGCAGCAAAATCGGACGCTGTTCATGCAAAGCGAGTTTTAATTTACAAACACATCGCGCAATATTACATCAAATATTGAATACATTATCAATCGCAAAAGGTGCTTGAGGACCGCACATGAAAAATTTCATGAATATGCAGCCTTTGTTATCGATAATGATGGCACAATTCGATAGTTCGCATACAGCTAAAAATCGATAATAATCAATGGAATTAAAAATCGCGCGATATTCATTCGTAGTGGACATTTAATAAACAGTGCATTATGAATAATATCAACAATTACAATAAAGATTAAACTCTCAACCCAACCGAAAGACTTTTGTAGTGTCCATTCAAAATATAGCTGTACAATTTTTTTTTAATGAATCAACATTTGTTAAGACTATTGTATACTTTGTTATTTCGGCTCTGAATAACAAATCATACTATTCGACTCAGCTCAACTTTAATACTAGTTTTTTCAGGGGATGCAAATTTCGTTTTCTTTGGTAATTAGTTTTTTTTTTTGTTGCACAATTTTTTTAGGACTTAATAAATAAAGAATTATTTTTCACAATGAGCTAATATAAATGTCATCACTGTCAGTCTGCGTTGCGCCTATTTGAGCATACCCAAAGTATATTCTACAGCATTTTAATCTGTGTACACCTCGTATGCACACACACACAAGCGCGCACACAACAGCTTGACGCGCTGCGAACTGTAATCGAAATTATGAAACCTTATCGAATAGTTGCTGTCAGAGTTACGTTTACGGGCGAATGGCAGGTGACGTGGAACACGAAACCGACACGAAGAGTTGTCAAATTGATTCCAACGCTTTCAACACTTTCCAGGTCAGCACGCAGAATTCACGAACTTAGTGCACATTTTGCCTTTAATTAAAATTAAACACATACATTAAAATGGTAAGTAAAAAACATATTTTTTGAAAAAGAAAAAGACGAACCAAGTGCCGTCCATTGTTATAGCCTGCTCCTGCAAGTTCGACGTCCGTTGGCAGCGGTTCACGCTCGCCCAGCAAACTGTCGGCGCCACGTAGCGCTGGCGCTGGCGGCGGCAGCACTCTGAAACAACGAAAGACGACAACAACAACGGCGGCCAGGAGTCGTGCTCCAGGCGGAGCAGGCACTGGTGGCATGTGGCGTTTCTACACAGATGATTCTCCCGGCATTAAAGTGTAAGCGGCCTGTTTAACTGAATTAGTTGTAATCACTAAATTAAACATAATTTTCTCTCTTATGTTTAATAGTGGTCCAGTTCCAGTTCTGGTCATGTCGTTGCTGTTCATCGCCTCTGTCTTCATGCTGCACATTTGGGGAAAGTACAACCGTTCTTAGACAGTTCATCGTAGCAAATAAATACTTTCACCTCAACGGACGCGCCGCGACACACAATTTTGTCGACGTCATCAGATTTCTCACAGACAGTTGCCAAAACAACAACAAAAATAATTGAACTATCGCAGCTAGCACTGTAGTATCTGCATTCCGTTGGTTGAGGCATTGTGTTTTCCACTTGAAATTAATTATTGTCTAAGCTTAAGTTACCCGTCGTTAAATGATAAACTAAATTGTATACATAATTTGTCAAAATTTTCTATTTACTTTGCTGCAAAGTTCTTTTGTTTGGAGTTTGTGGCAGATAATCCATTCCACAATTTATGGTGGCCATGTTCATGTGCATTACTTTCGCGCTTCACAGACGCAGTTCAATAGTTTAAAAAGTGTTAAGAACAAATGAATTTGGTATTAAACGAGTAAAAATAACAATTTTCTGTCGTCTTTCTCTACAACTTTCTTAACTTTTGACTGCATTTATTGCGAGCCACTATCACAGCTTGTCCCATGAATTGCGTTTCCTTAAAGTATCGACAGCGTTGTGTACATCTGCGTTCACTGTGTCCTCGCTGGCCGCAAATAATGCAGCCGTAGTGCTGGTCCTTTCGTTGCTTCTGCTGGCGATCTCTGCGTTTCAGTTGTAGCCACAGTCTACAATTGGTCTCAATGTGAGAACGTTGGCCACATAACCAGCAGCGCTGCATAGACTGATACAACGCACAGACATGGCCCTCGCGCTGGCTGCAGCGGCGGCAGTTCGTGCAGTGCACATAATTGGGTTTCACACACATATCACAAAACTGACAGTGCCGATAGGTTTGGCCGTTCTGCGAGCAGCAGTTGCCGCACCGATCACAGTGCACGTTCTCTATGCCTGTGTAGCGTTTACATTTATCACAATACTTGTAGCCCTCCGCAGATTGCAGCTGCAGCAGCTCCAGGGGCACGTTGGTAAAGACGCGTACTGGCGAGCCATAGGAGCGACGGGCGATGCCCACATTCGTATAACGACTGTGGTTGGTGTAGTTCAGCTTATAGTCACACATTTGGAGCTCGGGCATATCCTGCTTTATATAGTTTGCCATATAGTATGGATATACCCAAAATATGGGTAGTGGCGTGGCGGGCAGGCAGTTAATGCGATTGTGCAGACGCACGAGGGAGCGCAGCGTATGAGCAATGAGCTCCGTTCTACAACCGAATGGGGGATCCGTTACAATTAAAACGCGATCGTTGCTGAAATGCAGGGCTGTCGCATCAATTTTCTGGATATGGAAAGCGATCTTACTTGTTGCATTTGAGGAACAGCTCAAAAGGATCTCGATTGTAGAAGAAGTGATTGTTGCACATGTTGTACAGGCAGAATTCCCGTGGGCTTAGATAGGCACCAAATCGCTCGTCGAAATCTAGCAAAAACGATTGCATTTTGCGGATACGTCGCAGGTGGAAATGGAGCCGAGGCGCACCCATGCATACTACTTTACTACATAAAAGAGATGTTGCTGCATTGAGTCCTACTTTAATTGCTGCAACTTACTTGAATTTAAGCAAGCGACATTGATCCGCAAAGAATTCCAGGGCTTTCTGGTCAAAAAAGTATTGGGCATGCACTTCGTCTTGCGAAAGGGCTTCTAGGTGATTTGTTGGATCGGGATCGCTTTGCTCCTTCATTGACTCGGGATAATCGCGAACATTTGGCAAGCGCTTAAGCTTGTTGCCTTTCCATTGAATCTTATCCATGTGAAAATCACACAGTTTGGGATTCCGATGAGCGGAGCAGGCATAGAAGCCATCGCCTGGGGTTTCACTTTGCCGATAGAATAACACTGTGGGACCGTGCGGGCAGCAAGGATGCTGATCCGCGGCATCTGCGCCATCTTCCTCAACTTGCAGAAGAAGCTTTTCCCTGACGATTTCTTTACTCATTTGCGCTAACTGACCAAAGGGCAAGGCGTTGCCACTTTTCAAAATATCGGAACTCAAGATGTATATCGATATAAAATATATCGACATCCGCATATGTAAGAGCATTGCAAGTTGCAACATAGAAGCGGCAGCACATTTTTCCAATTATTGTCATAATAAGTTGATATATTATATAACAAGATGAACAGCCTGAAGACAGCAACTATGCGATTTGCCAATTTGGCCAGTACAGCAAATGGCGCATTAGGCAAACGTGATTTCGCCCGTAGTCTTTGGCACATGACCAAAAAGCCGGCGGCGACAGGCGCCAGTGGCGACCATGTTACCGTGTTGAATGTGCACAAGCCCAGCATTAACTGCACTTGTGGCTGCAATGTGCACACCAAAGGTGAGTCTACCATTGAGAATAACGTCTGTCGCAAGCTTTAAAGATTGGCGCATGTTCCTGCATGGTTACATAACCTCAAAGGCGGGATGCTGACAACATCCAGGGTGATATTTTGAAATTAACTAAAAGGTTTCTTTTTGTGGATAGGTGAACGTGAGCTTGTCGAGTTTCTCACCGAGGAGATCGTTGCGGAGCGTAAGGTGCAAAAGGGCAAAACTGTTCCCAGCACATTGGAAGGCTTTAGCGTAAAACTGACTGGCGCCGATGTGGAGCTGACCAAGGAGACGGACAAGGAGAAGGTTGTTGTTAGCTTCAATGTGAATCACACAGTTGACAGCGAGCAAGAGCCTGAAATCAATCCAAATGCCGACAAACCGGAATTGGGTGAAATGCGCAGCAAGCCCCAGTTCGAAGTAGATATCATTAGGGGTAGCTCGACCCTTTCGTTTACTTGCTCCTATCTGGAGGGAGAGGCGCAGGAGGGAGAGTACAATGATGTGTTTTCCATTGATGAGATGTCCATCTACGAGGGCGAGTGGAATGACAAAATCTATGCCGTTGCTGGAGATGTGCTCGATGGCTATTTATACGATCTGTTGATGAATATTCTCGAGGAGAAGGGAATCAGCAACGAGTTTGCCGAGAAACTCTCCGATTTGGCCACAGCTCATGAGCACATCTCGTACATTGCCTTGCTGGAGAAACTTTCCAAGTTCACAGCCGGCAAGTAAAAGCTGAATGTTCGTTGCTAATTTTAAGGCAAAAGTTGTGTAGTTTTTTAAGTTTTCACCGGCAACTGCAGATATGGTACCAATCGTTAGTCTATCTTAACTAAAAACGTTTTTGATCCTTTGTGTTTTTAGCCGTATACTTTCGATTGAACCTAGTTTTTAAGTCCAACCATTTTGGCATTTCAACAAAGAGCCTATGCTAGTTGACTATCTAGTGGGGCATATGCTCTGGCTTTGATAAGCTAAATACAACACGTTTTGTTCTATTCATTTATTGAGTTTTATTTGGAAACGTGGGCAAACAATATCCTTTCGACTGATTACCAGCGCGATGGCCCAAAATTTGGAGTCTGCGGTCTGTTGGGCGGCAATGTTTCTGGCCGTCTAGGTTGACCCAAACCTGATCGCGAAACGAAGGGCTCCGCTTGGATGAGTTGCGTGCAAAGTGCACAGAGGACCAGCACGAATATCAAATGTGATGATAGAAGCCGCATGTTAATAGCTAAAATCACTTTTCAGTTCTGTTTTTGAGTAGATTGTGCATTGGACTTTATATATGAAATACGCGGCGACAATTTACTGCGCCGGGAAGCACCTGACCTTAAGCTCCCAGCTTCGATAAGCACTCCTGGGAATCACCAAGAAGCAGATTTGAATGAAGGTGCAATAAAATAAATGCTGCAGATGTGTGTGTAAAAACGTAAATATGAGTTGTTTACATCTTGTCGGCAAATTCTGTGGCTTCTTTAATGCCCGACTAGCAAATGCCCTGTATCTGTTCAAATGCAAATATTATTCTCTATACACAAGTCAATTGTTAGTTTGTGAGAGCAGCAGGTTGAGGATTATGCATATACATTTATGTAATTTTTTAATTATTTATTAAAACACACACACATATTTACAAACTTTGAACTTTAAATAATTCTGGCATTGTTTGAACTTAACATAAATTTAATTGAAAACGATTAATTTACATTCTGCGCCAATTTAAAAGGCGTTACTGCCACGAGCTACTTATACATTTAGACTGTGGAGCTGCGTTTGTGCTTCCCAGGGAATGCGTTCTTACTCCTATCTGTCGCCTCGCGGCTGTTCAATGTTTTGCTCTGAATCCGTTTTGATCTTATCACCATGGCAAGGCTTTGAATCGGCTAATTGGGGTCAACTTTTGCTTTGGCCGCTTTGGCTTTTGCTCCCACTCGCCGTATTGTTGTTGTCGTATTCGGTGCCTGTGCTGTAATCCGTTTCAATTTCACGTAATTCTATTTTCTGCTCACGCATGGCACGCTGTTGGGTTTATCATGCTGTAGCAATGAGTAATACAAGTGTCTATGTGCAATTGACCACCAACCTTTACGCACTCCTGATAAACCTTGAAAATGGGCGCACACACGGAATCATCGGTTTCTCCTTTAAGGAAACGTTCGGAAAACCAGTTATTGAAGCATGCATCGTATTGCTTTTTTAGCTCATTGCAGTCGTCGCCTATGCTGTTCATGCTGCAGAGTGTTGAATTTTTTATTGATAATTTTCACTTGTTAAATAATAATGCCAATAAAACGTGCGACTGCTGCAGAAAGGTTGCCGATAACATATCGATAATTGTCACGCCGATAGTTCCACAGCACAAGACTTTACCTTCGATAACGCCGGGTACGGTGACCACTTATTAAAATATTCATTTTGCCAGCAGGCAGGCACCTTGTACAATCGCCTTCAACTGTGCCGTTATTTAATTTGAAATATACGACACAATTCTTAGCACATGTTAACAGTTTTTACATCGCACTAGAAATGACACGACTTATTTGTTTTTCTTGTTTTGTGTGTGTGTTTTTTCTTCGGTTTCTTTTTAGTTTCCTTTACTGTTTATTTTAATCAAAGACTTGCGCACTTTAGATTTTAGTTCATACAAAATGCATTTATCAATTAGTTTTTTTTCTTTTTTTTTAAGCATAATGAGCGTTGAAACAAATTCACAGTACAGCGTAATAAATAAGGATAAAATGGTTACAATGAAAGGCTGAATAATGAATGTAGACCTCCGATTCAGGGCTTGACTGAATCGGAGGTCTGGCCACAGTCGGCATCAGCAGCTGTTCCTCTTCCACAGATCCATTTCCTTATACGCAGTGTATTGTTCATGAAATTTGTTTAAAGGCTTCTACTTAGATGACTGTGTCTACTCTTCCTCGATGGTCTGCACTTGTTGTTGCTGCTGCTGCTGCTGTTGCTTGTGGTGTCCACGTTGGTTGCGGTTGCGCTGATTGCGATTGTCGCGACGCTGGCCGCCCCAGTTGCCGCCTTGGTTATTCTGGTTGCGATTGTAGCCGCGGTCACGGTTGCCCATGTTGCCGCGCTGGAAGAAGTTGCCCTGCTTCATGTCGAACACCTTCTCATTGACGTCCACCAGGTTGGTCACCTTGTCAACGAACTGCATGGCCAGGGCCTGCAGGCGCGACGGTTCCGATCGATGCATGACCACCGTTTCGCTGGGATCGTCGAGGCTAGCCATCAGCTCCTCGTTGATAATCATCTTGCTGATAATCGAATGCACCTTTGGAAGAGGCAGCTCATACATTTGCGCCAGCGATGGTATGCTAATCGAAGTGTACACATTCGAGTAGGTGAACAGATATGTGCGCAGCGACTCCTCCTTGATGAACTTGACCAGCATTTCGCGCACACGCTCCGACTCGTAGAAGAGATCCCACACCTTTGTGTTCATCTTCTTGTTAACTATGAAATTGGCACACGCCTGCCAGTTGCCGCAGCGCATGGCCTTGGCGGCTGCCACAACGTGCTCGCGCATCGATTCGGGTGGACCCACCAGGGACTGACGTTCGGAGGAGCGTAGCTGCTGGTAGAACGTTTTGCTGATCATACGACGGCGTGCATCAAACTCGTGTGCGGCTATGTAGGGTATCTCCAGAAGCATTGCCGAGACCAGATAAACGCACTCCAGCAGTTCGAGATTGATGTGCATGTGGAATGGCATTTGGCGCTGCTTCTCGATCTTCTCCTGCTCGGCGGAGCGTTCGTGCTGACGCTGAGGCAACAGTCCCTGAGCAAGCAACTCCTTTGGCTTGCCGGTGACCATCAGATCGACCAGACAATGATGGGCATCCTTTATGTTCTCCTGGCGGAATGCGCACAGGCCCAGATTGGCCATCATGCGATTGTATAGAATACGCGTCGAGGGATCTGCCGCATCGATGTTGTCTTGCAAATGCGACATCAGAACCAAATCGCGCGCCTGGAACCAGTTGTCGTGCATCGCATGATGATAGATGTGCGCCAGTATTGCGCGCGTCCTAATCCGATCTGTGTCGTCCTTGGCATAGATAAACTTGCACAGCTTGTCCATTACCTCGACGGAAGACGGAGCTGTGCCCGCAGCTGGCAGTTCACCCCGCTTGCGCTTGAGCACCTCCGGATCGAACTTGTAGTACAGATGCTCGATCTTTCGCAGGTAAATGCGACAACGCTCGTTGTTGCTGCCGCAGCGCTCGAAGTATTGGACAACCAGCTCAATGGTTTTAACCACATTGATCTCATCCTTCAGCCGCGAAACATAGTCATTTGAGTGCGGATCGCACTCCTTCAGCAGCTTGGTGAACTCATCATCCAGACGTTCGACGGCAGCCAACGGACAGCCGCGAATGAAATACGGCGCAGCTCCATATTCCTCGTGTTCCTCGGCCACGCTCTCGTTCATGTTGATTTCCGGATTGGCGAGCAACAGTTTCAGCATGCTCTGCATCACCTCGAGCAACAGGGCCCAGTGCTCCAGCTTCATGGGCTCGGATATCTTTTGATTGTAGTCGAAAATGGCCGAAATGATGTTGAAGTGAATCTTCACGCTAATGGGCGTTCCCAGTTCATGTTGCTCGGAGATGTCGCGCAGCTCGAACAGCAAATCAATTTGCAGACGGCGATCGGTACGCTTCTTGCCGCGTGCTGACATTATTTCTACCAGTTTGGCAAGCACGAGGGGAATATCGATTTCAGCATCCTTTTCAAACATTTTGGGCTTCTCAACGACATTGCCCTTGACGACGGTCTCCCATTCGCCATCTTCATCGTCATCGGCGCGCTTGCGCACCTTGTGCTTCTGCTCCTTACGCTTGTCCTTGCGCTTGTCGTCATCCTTGTCCTCCTTCTCGGTGGTGCGCTTAAGGAAACGCTCACGCATGTTCTGGTATAGATTCTCATCCTCTGAGGATTCGGTCTCCGACTCGGTGTCAGAGTCCCAATCGATCGAATCATCAGAATCATCCTCGTCCGCAGCCACTTTGGTAGGCACCAATTTCGCTGCCTTGGGCAATTCGGCCAGTTTGCCAGTGCCGGCGCCAATGCCGCCATCGCTGTCAGCGCCTGCGCGTTCGGCGTCGCTATCGTGTGCCTCCCCTTCGCCCTCATCGACGTCACTTTCCTGGTCGGGTGCTTCTCGGAAACGCGCGAGGTCCTCTTCAAAATCTTTGATATACTTCCGCACCTTTTGACGCAACGTGCCCAGCGACTTTGAGTTGTTTTTCGAGAGATTTTTGCGCCCCTCTCGATCCTCCCACACCTCATTGATGAAATCTTCAAGCTCGGCAAGGCAGCGAATGTAAAAGCGCGGTGTAATGCCGTTCTCTTCCTTCGAGATGACGGGCAGCGCCTTCGTGTAAGCGCGCGTCAAATCCTCAAAGCTGCTCAGCGTATTCGGTATGTCCTTAATCTTCTTATGGTTGCGTATCGTTTTGATGATGCCTGTTAAGTTCTCATAGCGCTTTTCCTTGGTGGAGCGCACCACACGCTTAACTTCCTCTTCGTCATCGCTGAATTGCTGCTCAAATAATGTTATTTTTGTTTTAATTAAACACGACTGGGACAGGCGCCAATGGGCTCATTTTTAACTTACGAAGTTATTCGCTTTGTTGAAGTTTGATGCTTGAACCTCTTCTTCGCTGGATTCGGATTCCGAGTCGGAGCCGTTGGCAAAGAAACGTGACATGGTACTTAGTTCTGCTTATGCCGTTTTCTGCAAAATAAATAAAACACAAATTACATACAATTTTAGCTGCTTGACTTGTGTGTCACAGAGCGGTTGAGGTTATGTGCAGGCGGCCAACATGGCGTTTGCCAAATATTGACAACTACTTTCTGCCACAATTACGAAGTTATCTTTGTCAGCGCGAGTTGCAATACATGCCGCGCTTGTTGGGCTTTCGTCCTCAACTTGGTTAGAGCCGCTCCGGTCACGGTATTTCAAAATAACTTACAATTATTACAGCAAAACGATGTCATTCGCAAGACATCAAAGAAAAGAGGAATAATACAAATTTTCGGTTATCGATATGTGAAATGTATGAATCGATGTTTTTGACGATGTTTTTATATTTTTTAACACTGTCATTTATGACAATGTATTTCAACATAAATCTCTTTGACTGTTCCTATTGCCGCTTGTCTGACAAATAAAACTAAAATTATTAAAATTTGACTATTGTATTGATATATTCGAAAAAAATGGTAAGGTTTTTTTTTGAAGTTTGTTTTTATAAAACTTTTGGGAAAATTTTATGATTTTTAATTTTGTAGAAAACAGTGCCACTTGAGTTTAACAGAGCCAATGTGAGGCTGTCTGTTACAGATTTAAATAGCTAACATCATAGCCATTTTCTATACTTGAAATTGGAAATAACCATTTACTTCCACGTATAAAACTACTATATTAATCAACGAAAATAAAGTAATAAACCTATTTAGCATATTACTTAGCGTATTGTTAGTTGAAATATGTTTAGCATACCTGCGCAGGCGCATCCAATAGCCGGCATTTGGCGCAAACACAGCCATTCCTTGCCGCAACGCTTCCCGCTGACAATCACGTATTCGAATGTATGCGAATTTATATTGTCAGGCACAGGCAAAATGTTGTCGACGTTTGAGCGCGCCAACAAGTCGTCTGCGTTCGCTTGTCGTGGCCAGTTCACCAGCTGCCAATCGGCGGAAGCGGCAATCTTTAGCATAGCGCGAAATTCAAGCGTTGAGGTCCGTTTCCGGCTTTGGTGTCTGTGCGAAACGTAAAGTGATAAAAAGTCTAAATTTAAACAAAATTAGCCAAGTGTTTAGCGTATTTTCCGTTCGGCAATCGACAATTTACGGGCACGTGTGCTGAGATCCCCCAAATCCCCGCCTCGCCCAACAAAAAAAAAAGAAGGAAACTCTGAAACGCAAATGTAAGCACAATAAATAATAATTGGAAATTGATGCAAATGTGTTTATCTGTGTCGCTCAAAGTGCTCAAATGAATATCATAAACTGACCAGGTAAAATCCGATAAAATCTGATAAAATCCGTACAGCTCCTGACATCTGACAACTGACGGTGCACAGATCTGCGAGCATTGATAGACAATTTAATGCCGCTTATTTGTAAATTAAAAATTAAAAAAATAAATTGCATGCATTTTACACTTCCTGTTTCATGTGGAAGGCCTTACACCATAAAATTCGTTGCCCTTTGCAATTTATTGTACTTATATCCAAATGCAATATTGTCCGTAGTAAATCTTCTATGCAGGCAAAGCTTTTACATATGTATTTATATTCCAGCTAAAAAAGTGGAGTTCCCTTTTTCATTTGAATTTTCTTCGGCCTGTTAACTTGAATTGTGCATCCGTTTATCTACGCACTTGAGCTTAGCTATAAATTTTGAAGCATACCGAATGAAAGTTGTATTCTGGGCATTTCGAATTTCACAATCCAAAGGGCTTCAAATATATCTCAAAATCAAATAAAGTATCGACTTAATATAAATATATGGCCGAAGTATGGAGCATTTGAACAAATTAGTTTAGCTATTGTTTGCAGGTTTAGGAAATGGGAATTTATTCAAAAAGTTATTTCCTAACACCAAGGTCTTGTATGCACCTATTTAAGAGCAAAAGGTGTCTTTTGACACCTTTGGTAGATGTAAAGAAAGCTAAATAATTTTGTTGTTTTAAATTCAATGCAATCGTTAACCTCAAGCGCAATAAATATTTGAGTCAAGTAAAGGTCTCCAAAGGCAAGCTTTGGTCTATGGAATTGCGACACGCCCATTCCGTGCTAGTCGGACAATTTATGAGTAGCGCACAAAACCAAAATCAAGCCACCGTGTAGCTGGGCGAAGATCCCCAACTATAATAAAAAATGCCAGCAAAACAAAAAGGAAGGGGCGAAGTAGAACTTAAAAATGCAAGGAAATAGAAGAGAATATGCCAGGCGAACGGAGTTCGGAGGTCGGCGGTCAGTGCTGGGCTTGGGGATGGGGCCGGGGATGCACTTGGCACTCGGCACAAAGTGCAACTGTAGCTGCAGGAGAAGCGCGTGCCATTTATTAGCCTTTGGCAGCAGAAGCAGAAGCTGAGCTGGCACGCAGCGCGTGGATAAAAACGTGCGCTGGCCAAAACTATTAACGGAAGCCCCCAAGTGCCAGAACAGAGAGAGTTGGGATAGGAGGAGCAGTTAGAGGCAAACGACAGTTAATGGAAATGTTTATGGCGTCTGCGTAATTGTTGGTTCATGTGCATGTTGTATGCCAGAGGCCGGCCATTCGAATGCCATAACCGGCTCTGGACCTGATGGATGTCGGCCAGCGTTCCGTCATCTAAATATAAATTAGACGAACGCCTCGGCCAAAGTTGGCTAGAATAGAAAATTTGTTTATAATTTGCCGACGCGACAGCAAAAATAAACAATGTAGCCAAATCGTAAAAAGTGCTCACCTGATTCACACGGCCATCTTATAGTTGGGCACATATTTTTCCCATTTGCACTTGTTCTAGTTCAGAGAAAATCATTTAATATTCCAGTTTAGAAGAGATACAATACAAATTAATAAGAACTGGCGGGCATTACCCGGCTTTGCAAGGCCTAAATTAGACATCAGCTTGTCTTCAATTTTCCAAAAAAAAAACAAACTAATTAAGTAAAGCTCTTAGCGCTTGTTAACGGTAAGCCGTAATTACAATCGACAGCTTCTACAAGAAAGAATCGGGCAGAAACTTTAATTAGAATCAAGCATAATATGTGTCTGTAAACATGTATGCAAATAAGTACTAGTTCAAGTTGAGATTACCAAGTTGATTACTTGATTAATTAGGCAGTCAAATGTTTTGATATTCCTCTACTTTATGTCTATTATGCGTCCACGTGTCCTTTTCGCCAGTGGCAGCCTTGACTGCCTTGACTGTTATGGCCAAACTTTGTTAGCTCATTAACCCAACCACCCACTTTGCTGTGGATATCTTTCAATATGCTCCGAATTCTGTTTGACTTCCTTCTGTTTGTACTTGCAGATGCCCCCATCTCCAGACTATCCCCAGCTCCGAGTGCTACTGCTCTAATTTCGCAGCTAATGCTAACGAATGGCTGTCATTTAATTTCTATGAGCCATAAATTTTTATAATGCACATTCATTAGGTTTCTATACGCGTGTCCTCGTGTGTACTTTATCCGCTGCATGAAACTGTGATGTAAGCAGCGCACAGTTGCTGCTAAAAGTTCAGCAACACGCAAATGCAGCTAATTAGCTGACAAATTAGAAAGCTAGTTACAATGAAGGCAACATTCCATACAGTCGGGAAATAAAACTAAACATTCAATATGTATTTGGTTGATTTGGGTAACTTATGATTTTGCAAGTTTACAATTAATAAAACAACATAATTCCATGAATTGTTTGGCCGGCTGGCTTGTGGTTCGTTTTTTAATGAAACTCAAACTTAAAGCGTTTCAGTAGCTGATAATATTTAAAAAAGCTTGAACATGTTGTTAAGTCTTTAATAGTTGGTACTTAAACTTATCAATACATTTATCCAAAAAGCGCCGAGGCCACAACAAAAAACAAAATTTCAACTCGAAGTGAAAAACAAGCATCGGCAAAAGTTTTGGTCGAGCATTTATAGCTCTCGTGCAAATCATGAGAATCGAGTGCCATTATTCATACCCTGTACACAATCGAAAATGGCTAAGAAATGGGCTATAAAGGTTTTGTGCGTTCGTATGTAACAGGCAGTCCTTGATCAGGAGAATGACTAAGGAAGTTTTGGGCATGACTTCTTGAATCTTGAAAACTAGAGACTTAAAATTTGAACAACATATTCTCATGCTTAATTCTCCTATTTATATAATACCGAATCATATTTCGATTTACGAAAGACAAATTAAAAGCCATGAACTTTCGTTCTGATAAAAACAAACATAGCTTGGCTTAAATAAGACTCGAATTTATTTTCGAACTTAACTTTTCATTTTATGGATGTAAAATACAGGGTATCCTAGTCGTGCACTCTCGACTGCAGCGCTCGTATATGTTTGCTTTCTTCTTTTTTTTTTTCTTTCTTTGCTTTGTGTTTTTTTTTTTCTTTTTGCTAGTTTTTCGTGCGGCTTTGTGTAGTATTTAAGGCTTTGTGCACACGCGTCGTATGCTTAATATTAAACAGAGCCTCGACGAGCACATCGCCTAAGCGTTTTGTTTGCTCACGACTCCACACACTTGCCACTTGCCACTTGCCACACCCCACTCGCCACTCGCCACTCGCCATTCACCACTTGCCACTCAACTGTGAGCTGCAGTCTGACATTTGCTTGACTTTATTTTGGTTTTGTTTACCGGCTGGCTGCTGAATGTGACGATGGAGGAGTCTTTGCCAGGATCCATATGGAGTGCCATGTGCCATGTGCCGTTGGCTGGGCGGGCACACACAAAGCCAATCACCACAAAACACTAAAGTAATGATGCTGAACTATGCAAGTGGCTTTTGTCTGCTGCTTTGTGCTATCGAAGGCATCAGAATTTGTTGTTGTCATTGGATTGACCATCGGAATGCTCTATTGTTTTTGTGCTTTGGGCTTAGCTTCAATTCGGTTGCAGATGATTCCAAATCGAATAAAAGGCACAATGATATAATTGGTTTCACAAATCAGGGAGAGCTTTAGATAAAAGGCACACTTTTTGTTAGAAACTCTTGGTATAATTTTAATATCGCCGACAAATCTATGCGCTTAGATTAAAACTTAACGGTTCTGTTCTTATTTTGAGTTCAACTAGGTTCACAGTCAAGTCTGTTAAAGTTCAAAAGTCTTTAAAAAGTGATGCTCTTGATCTAGAAAGTCCGACTTGAAGATGCCCTGTAACTAGCCTGTTGCATATATATATTATATCTTCTGTTTCCATTCTGCTAAAGGCTATTGGAAATTCTTTTTCTTTAGAATGAAAAAATTTACTGTATCTAGCTCTTATTACTGCGGAAAAAATCAATTTGAAAATTGAATCGTGAAAATGCATAGCTCATAAAGTCTCTGAGATACTTTCGTTTGCCATTTTAAATGGGCTCAGATA